ACTATAAGATCTAGAAATCTAGATATTAGAATTTGGTGAGTACAGGGTTTCTTGAATTCGAGCCTCATCATTGGGATCTCGTGAACCGTGAGAAGAGATACAGGGTTAAATTTTGTCAAAGTTGCGGAACATTTTCGGAGATATCCGGAAAAAACGAAGTTTCATAAAACCCTTTGTACTTTTTATTGAGGTTATTTGAAGGAATCAATCGGAATTAATGACAATTCATCATTTTTTCTTCGCTTCAAGATGACGTTTTCAAATATGAAATCCGAAGATTCGTATCCCAGAAACCATCATCAATTTTTTTTTTTAAATAGGTACGGACGTGATTTTTATATTTTATTTCTGTTACCTTTGGATAGCTCAGATGTTATGAGCTAGCACGAATCTTGATTTTCCAATATTTTGATGACAAAAATTAACGGTTTCTTTATTTTTTTGAAATATTTCAAAGTATAGAATCTGTCAAATTTGGTCATCGAAGAATTCGAAGATCAAAATTTGTGGAAGCTCACAGCCTTTGAGTTACTTATCCAAAGATAAGTCCGTATTTGAAAAAAAATTTATGATGGTTTCTGGAAGACGAAACGTCATTTTGTAGAGAAGAAAAAATGGCCATGATAAAGTGTCATTCATTCCGATTAATTTCTTCCAATGACGTAAAAAAATGATAACGGTTTTATGGAACTTTGTTTTTTTTCCGGATATCTCCGAAAGAACTTGTAATTTTAAAAGTTTCATGATGTATTTTTTTTTATATTTTTTTAGGCATCAAATTGCGCAACTTTGCCATGATCTAGCTGATTCTGTATCTATTGCCGTTTTCGAGATCGCAATGACAAAGCTCGAATTTCAGCCGCCCTGTATATATTTTCAATATTCAATCATTTCAGACAGATAATTTCTTCGTTTTCGATTCAAATTGGTTATGTCCATGTCTTTATCTGTCGTGACGTTCGATGTTGCAGTGCTGGATTTGTCTTTTTAACATTCTGGATTATTTGCAACGAAGGTAAAGTCCTGTTGACGAAATATTCCTTAAAGTGCGATAGTACAGCCGTCCTTTCCCCTTCTGTCCATCTAACCCGCTTCACAGGTCCAAATGGTGAAGCTGGAATAAACAGACGTACAGTCAATTTTGTATTATTCTTGCACTGGGAATGAAAGGAAGGTATACTGAAAGATATATTCATGAATCATAGTTAGAAATCAACTTATTCTTTCAACAAACTGATAAAATGAGATACAAGTCGGTGGGTTTATACAGTTGTTCAACTTGCTTTGTGAGTAACACTCAGAATTATTAGAAAATACTGAATAAAAATAATTATCAAACATTACTGTCACTTGTGAAGTAATGTAATGGTATGAAAATGCATCATTCCAGTCAAAAATCAAGGATATTATCAGTCTAGGTAGGTGGACCAAAAAAATAAAATATTCATTTGTGCAAGTATCTTGTGTATCATTATTGCTGCTATAATAAGCGATTTTATCTATCTAAATAGATATTAAGTTGTTATAATTATATTTCGAGAAGAAAAAGCATAATTTGACAACATTTGCTCGAAAACAAATAGATGACAGAGAATCATATATACCTAATTTTTCAACAATATTTCTTTTCTATACGTGAAATAAAATTAAGAAAAGCATTATGAATCGCATAACTAGATATAATTATTGCAGCTTCTTCTCAGAGATGCCAGAAATCTGTTTTGCTCTACCAGAGCTTCCCAGTATAATCGGTATCTGATGAATAAATCATGCTGTGATGAAACCACTTTCCTACAACTCACCGACGGAGACCACTCGGAAACATTGTTGATCCTCACTGATATATTCATTTGTCAGAGACTGGGTATCACTGAAGACCTCTGGTAGATCAACAGCAGTCTGGTACCACTATTGTGGAATACTGTTTCATCAAAAATTTTCGAGGGTCAGTAATTGACATCTTGCATTATTTATGTAGCGTAGCGAGCGTGGTTCACCTCATCCATGCTGAGATGGAACCATTTCCATCCCATCGATAACAGAAAAGTATCACGACTCATCCTTATTTCGATAAGTTTAGAGGAAAGAAAATTCAGTGACGATGGAAAATTCCATTGAACGAGAGGAAATCTTGTGAAAAAAATTGTCACTTCATCTGTAATTCGAAGCCAGATCTACGGATACCAATACACCAACCTCATCACTGAAACTCCGGCGTGAATAAATTTGTGATTAAATGAATGAACACTATTTGAGAGCAATAAATTTTGCGAATCTTTGGAACGTTACGAATTTATTGTGATGTAAATTTTATACAATAAATACATTAATGAAGAACAGCTTCCAAATACGATTTGCAGAAAATAAGTAACACCTACTATCGATGAGTCCGTCCTATGGTTGCGAATAATTTGCGTGTATTTGGTAACGAACATGTAGTGATTGATAGACTCTGTTGAAGTGCCCAATCAATCCCATTTTCATAAGCATAACTCTTCATCATTCAATTATACAAATAATGTAATATTATATGTAGTGAAGCAGTGATTAACAAACAAATAACAACCGAATACGATAATACGAAATAACCAGCAGAAGAGTATTTTCTGGATTCTCTTGTGTGTATGGTTGCTATTTATCAGTCATCATACAGGGTGACCCAGGGTCAATCCGCCAAACGTTTAGGATCGGTTTCTTAGGCCAAATTGAGATATTTCACCTTATAAACATCTGTCCTAATTTGCGTCGTTTTCGATAAACAGGGTATGTAGTCGAAGTGCATCAAAACTCGAATCGATCAATTGAAAATGGCACATGCTGTCAAACTTTGAAACAAGCGAACCATCAATTGTTTTCAAGATTGTACGATACCATTGATTTATTTTTTGTTAAAATTCGTTTTTCCTGTTACATGCATGGAAATGGATTCCAATATTTTTCTCAAAAATGGAGCAAGGCACGAAAAGAATTGAAGAGACAAAAAATCGTATGTTTCATTGATCAATCTTAAACAAAATATTATACCTACAAAATAGACAGTGACATACAACGACTAGTCCTAATATCAATTAGATTACCCTCTGGGACGTCAATGGAATCAATAACTCAATCAATCAATCAATCAAAATATACTTTATTGTCTGAAGAATAAAATTCTCATTGACAAAGTCGAACATGCTTATATATATACATATAAAGAAATAAAGTAGAGTATAAAAATGAAACCTTACATTGTATAAATAGAACTAACACAATATAGTTAACAATATAAAACACATTAAAATTACAGGAACTGTTGAAACCAAAGAATATCGTTAAAAGTTTTAAATCGAAAAACAACAGGATATCAGCAATGTGAATTATTTTAGGAATTTTTCTGAAAAGAATTCGTCAAAGGAGTAGCAAGCTTTTTCAATTAGAAGACTTTTGACCGATTTTTTAAACATTTTTGGGTTATTGATACATTTTACCTCATCAGGCAAATGGTTATACAATTTTCTGCCATTGTAAATGAAAGAGTTTATTATTAATGTAGAGCTAGGTATTGGTATATTTAAATTATGTGCCCGTCTTGTATTATAGTGTGTAGTAATATGATTTTCGTGTTTATATTTTCGGTGTATGAGACATACCGTTTCCAGAATGAAAATACATGGAAGAGGTAATATTTTGTGCTCTATGAATAATGGCTTGCAAGAATCCCTGAATCCAGCTCTACACATGTATCTCACTGCTCTTTTTTGTAGGACAAAAATCACATCAAACAAAGTTTTACTACATGAACCCCAGAAACAAATTCCATATCTCAAATGTGAATCAATGAGAGCAAAGTATACACTTTTGGCCATTTCTCTACCAAGTTCCCATGATGTTGTTCTGACTGCATAACAGCCAGATGACAACTTTTTCCTTAATTTGTCAATATGGTCACTAAACTTCAATTTATTTCAATGTGTAAACCTAGAAACTTCGTATCTGTTCTATTACTAATTACTTGATTACCTAACTGAAGTTCTCCCTGCAGAGTGCAATTGAAAGTTAGGACACTTGTTTTAGAGATGTTAAAGGACAACATATTAGAATCGCACCACTTTTTCACCTTAGCAATATCGTTACTAATTGTTTGTTGTAAGTCATAACTATTTCTACTGTGCCAAAATAGTGTGGTGTCATCTGCAAATTGGGTAAATTTTCCTATAATATCGATCGACGCTAGGTCATTGATGTATAACAAAAAGAGGATAGGTCCAAGCACAGATCCTTGAGGCACTCCCCAACTAACCTCCAAACTCCATTATAATTATATTTAAAGAAGCTCCTTATTACCGCAGATGAGTATGCCAAGTTTTATCGAAATCTATTTTTTTCTAAAAACTCCGACACCTTGTATCTTGAATCTGGAAAACGAAGCAAATTAGGACAAATGTGTTTAGGAAATACGATCTTATTATGAGCTGAAAATTCGATCCTAAACGTTTACCAGTTCAATTCTCGGTCACCCTGTATACCAGAAAATTCCTATATTTCATTAATGTTTCTACTCACTACTGCGTTTTCGAGGAGTTTTTTCATGTTTCTCTTTTTGTGAAGTCGGAATACTTTCTTCAGTATCAACTTCTTCATAATCACTTGCGCTGTCTTCCTCATCGCTTTCACCTTGAGCAGCCTCGAGGAGCCTTGACATCCTCAATATTTCTCGCGAAACTATTGGTTGTCTATAAATGTTCTTGTGGATTTTTTCGTTATGTCCCATGAAATTTGCCAAATCAGTAACTTCGTGTTCTTGCAGGTTCAATGATACACAATTTGTTGCAACATGCTTTCTCAGTTTAGTTCCACGAAGACGTTCTGGATTTGAGGCTCCACAATCCTGGGCATATTTTCTTATTATGTTGCAGGCTCTTAAATATTTGTGTTCTTTAGCACTAGTACCAGTGCAGCCAAAAACATAAGGATTCTGTTCTGACACTCCAGCTCTCCTTCTAGTTTTTAATATCAATTCAAGGCAGCATATTGTTATCAATTAACACAGATACAGTTCGATTCAACTTCCCCCTTATTTCAAATCTCATATATTTATTAGCTATGGTTTTGTTTGCCTCAGATAGGGATTTGAAAAGATCTCTATCTGTACTTTCGATCGTCTGGTGATTACTGAAATTAGCTATAAGGATTCTCTCTAATTCTCCTGGTCGTCTTCTATTGAAAATTTGCATTGAAAGCAGAGTAGATTCAGCCAAAGTCAGCCAAGCATCATTATCATATTCAATCAATAGTTTCTCAAAAGCCGAGTCACGTTTTGTGATAGTATATGACCTTAGAAGCTTTTTATCTTCTACGATTGGTAGTTCAACATGCTTTCTCCTCTTTATTTGCATTTGTGACTCGGCAACATTACGATTCACATTGATATAAAGTTCTTCTATCAGGAGTTTGATGAAATTTTTGGCGTCTTTCATCTTATCTGTTTGATGGGTTTTGATGCATTCATTCATAAATATATTCCCTATTTGCTTCAACCATTTGACCAATAATGAATAAATTTGGCACAAGAAAGTCCTAAACTTGAAAAATCTCTATTTTGCCTACCCTATTTATCTCTGTGGAAAAGTACTTTTCCTCCCTAGGGAGAAAACGTAAAGGAGGGAAACCTCCAATGAGGCCAGGAAATGTATACTTTGGATAGAGGTATGTTTCATCAATTCATATTTTTTTCCCTCATTTCTCTCTAATTTCCATTAAATACTTCAATTTCTATATTATTCAAAGAGTTTTGCTTGGTCAACCTACACCTGATGAAAATTATAAACATGCACAGTTACAGTTGATGTTACTTTTTGTGCATTTAAGAGCAGGGTGGGCGAAACTCGATGTTTCAATAATTCTAATATAAGATAGAAAATAATTATAGAAATAAATGTAGATTTATCAATATTTAGAGTTTCATCGGGGAACTTTCGAAATATAGTTCTAATTTGAAAGGCTAAACTCAAATATCAGATTGAACAGAAAATCTTATTTTAGCCCAATAAATTTCAATGCAATTTCAAAATATCCACTTATGGAAACAAAGGTATTCAGAATTCGAAGCTCCTTACATTTCACAAAAGTACCATGCTATGTATGAATGTGTCAGTTACAGTGACATACCTTTCATCACCCTAGCCCTATCTTCTGGTTGGTCAATATGATAAATACCAGCAATGCTAAAAATCTGATCCTCCATAATATAATTGTTGATCTCTTCAAGATTATACAGAGTTTCAATGTGTTTAATTTTAGATGCTATATCTTCGTCAATGAAGGAGTAGGAAGGTTCACAGTTTTCAATACCATTTATTATAGCTGAATACAAATTTTCTGAAATAAAGTTTGGGCTTGGTCCAACAGGCTTAGTGCAATAATTTGTCCTGCATAGTGATATTCCATCTTCTCTAATGATGAGGTATTGAATGAGAGGAACTTATGGTCACCTCCAACAAACAGTTGGGAATCTCTCAGATAGTCTATCAGCAAGCGGAACATTTCTCGTGTAGGGCCTCCTACACCGATTGCACCTTCTGTAATACCATCTACATCAGAAAATAGTACGTTGATTGTATTATACGGATCAAACTCCTTCCTCTTTAGTGTTCGGATACTACAATTGAAAATTTCTCTACGGTAGACATTGAAATATGTTATATCTTCCTTAACATTCCTTTGAATCTTGAGTAATATATCCTTAACACTGGTGAGCTCTTCTTCATGTTCAATGTGGATAACTTCATGGCTAGATGAAAAAACCGGCAATGATTCATCATCTACTTTATTTGATCGCTTCAAGTTGTGGTTCAGGAGGACCTGTCATTTGAACTAAATCCCTGAGTGGGCGCAAATATACAACTTTTTGAGAAAACAGTCTCTTCAAGGTTTTTCCATTAATTTCAATGCCGTCCTCCAAACTAGGCTTAATCAGGATCCCCTCCATTGATACCTTGATTTCAAATGGTTCATTTCTCAAAATGGGAAAAACATCCATTAAATGGGTAGTTATTTCATTTTCAGACCATTCTAATTGAAAACTAACAGCAGATACCCCATATCCTGATACCAATATCATTTTGAATGTGTATTCATTGCAGTTGTAATTATTTTTGCAAGATTATAAAATTCTATTTCTGAAAGAACATACTATCCGGAATGATCGAAAGTTTTCATTAGGTGTGTTAATGAAGCTGAATCTGTGGCAAAACTTGAAAAACGCAAAACAACATAAAAATATCACACCTCATATAGCGGGTGACACAGACTCATGGTATACCCCCCTTTTCTCCTCTGGTTTTCTATCTATATTTCTGAAATTCGGAACATCGAAATATAAGACAGTTGTTGAAAAACTCCACTTTTTGTCTGCCACATCATCTGAGACCTCGTGGGGACAACAAACAAGGGAAGATTAATTCTCACCCTTGGAAGTTTTTGTGCCTACACTAATCATAGGTATGCCAGCAAAAGATGATATGGAATACATTCCACTTCTCAGCCACCCACCTTCAAAAGTTTTGATAGTGAAATTATGTGAGTGGACTCTTTCATTTTCCTCAAAAATAATGATTATGATGCTGCAGAATTACCTGTTTCAAATGCTCTTGCCTTCCCTATATTTTTATATGTGCTAGTTGTATTTGGTGATTTGACCAGTAAAACAGCCTTGTGAAAATTAGTTGCTACTGTATTTCTGATAGATCTCCTTTCACTTCTTCTCGCCCTACTCCTATCTCTGTTTCTTGTGATACTAGGAAATAATCTCCCTAACTCATTTCTTATTGGTCCTCCAGATGTTGATGCAGGTGAATGATAGTTTGATGTGGAGGGTGTTGATGGTAGTGCAGGTGATTGCAAGTTCAACATGGATGATGATGATGATGATGATGATGGCATTGAGACAGCTGCAGCTGCTGAAGAAGGTGTTAAGTTCCTTACAGTTTCTTACAAGTTCCTTTTTAATTCTTGGGAACCAAGAATTTCGTCAATGATGTTATTGATATTCATCTCAGTTTTGCAAAACTCAGGGATTGATTGAACAGGAATGTAACAAATCACTTTTCAGTGATATCTTAGTTGTTAGCCGAGTTGTGAGTCACTGAAAAATAGTATAACATAATGCCTATTCATAAATATAATAAGTGTACTGCTTATTTCTAGTTATAATTGGACATTATACAAATACAATGGCAAAATAGTAGTGATATGAATCTATATAAGCACCTAACCATTAGAGATTATTATGATGAAACCTGATATCAAATGGATATGCCATGCTTTCCTTCTTTTCTACCCACCCATTAGATAGGAAACATACATACCTCTTATTATTTCTTGCTCCTATAGACTTTCCACGATCGATTCACCCACTGTGGAATCTTCAGCAGATTATTTCATCATAGCTCGGTGTCTCTGGAAATAAAATACTTCAAAGTTGCTCTCAAAATCACACACAGATATAATTTTGTAATACCTACATTAAAATCTTTATGAGAACAATTGAGGAGCTCGCGTGCAAAACCAGATATATCCACTTTCCTTAATTTTTCAGGAAACGAGAAAAACGTGGCAAATCTATTGCTAGATTCAATTGATCAAAATTCCACCGTAGATAGATGACAATTTGTATGATGAATAGGATCAAAAACTTTTGAATGATGTGAATTGAAAATCCAGACCAATATACAGAAAAAACAAATGGATATATCTTGTTTTGCACCAAAATCGAAAAAAATCTTGAAAAAAACGTTAATTTCCACTTGAATAATCAAATTATCATTTTTTTTAAATATGCTGAGCTATCTCCCTTATTTTGTTCACCATTATCATTTTCTTCACGTTGGACCAACAAGTTTTTGTACCATTCTAGATCTTTTCGATTTTCCCATTCTTCTCCAAAATTTTCTTTCATCAAGTGACGTAAACTCTTCTTCTTCTTATCTGGAATGGAGTTGCCCAATGGAATTGTGTTAAGTTCGATATCTTCTTCAGATTTCCCCTTCTTGGTAAGACATTGATATGAATCTTTTCCTGACCGGAATCGATAATATTCAAACGAACAGACTCTAACATTGACCTTGTTATTGGTTTCGAATTTTTTCACAGAAATTCTCTTACACTCTGATATTCCCTTGATTTTTTTGAACGTTTTTTCTAGCTCCTTGATGTCATAGAGCTTCCAGTCAGAACCAAGTGATTGCACAGTACCCACTTCAGAATACAAATCCACGTATTCTTTTTTATGTGTAACGATCGGATTTTGTCGTAAAATTTTCTCAACTCTTCCGAATGCCCGATCAGCAGGAAGAAAGCTGTGTCCTCTTACAGGAAATGTTATTATTATTTCCGAAATATTTTCTGGGGACTTATTCTTCAGCCAGTACATCAAAGTGTGAATGATGTGAGAGTTTTTATTTTGTCCCCCACAACCATCACAAAATAGTCTGATGCAGTGCTTTCCATCAAAATTCAGACCATCTAGATGATGCATCAATGCTGAACCAATTTGTGTGGCTCCCCTTCCAGCTAAATCTTCAGTCCAGACGTAGAAAGTTGGATTTCTTGAAGTCATTGAAACACAGCAGAAAGCATACCAGCTGATTTGATGGGCGTAAAAGGCATCTCCTATTGGTGTACGAGGTAAAGGCTGCACCTGTTGTAGATCGAAGCAGAAAGAGATGGTATTGTCAGGATTTTCTCTAGCTAGTTCAAAGAAAGTGTTCGCTCTTTTTCTATGTATTCGGTATTCTATTATGATTTCCTTCTTTTTTTCAAGATCATTTTCATGTTTCAGTTGCTGCTGCAACCTTGTACACTTAGAACAAACATCAGATGCGGGCGATGAGAATCCAATATTGAAATCATTGATGAAGACGTTCCTAAACATATCATAACTTACACGATATTCAGCTCCACACTTTCGATTGTATAACTTCTGTAGTTTTGCGACAGAAAGATTTGCTGACAAATAAATACGTTTTGATTTGGACCGATTATAGTGACTTTCTTTACCACGCAGTTGTCCAATAAATGAGCGAACTTTTTCTTTCTTTGAAGCAATTTTGTGAGAAATTTTGTCTCCCCCTCTTCTCTCTTTTGGAACTGCACCTTCTTCTAATGCTTTAGAAACTGTAGCTATTCTCTGATTTGTTACTCCAAATACGGCGATAAAAAACGTTTTGCAAATTCTCATTGTAGTTTTGCGAGATTTGAGCAAATAAGCCACTGTTGCATTCCTTTGTTTGATTTCTCGAGTAGATCTATGTCGTTTGACAGGCATAACGGATATAAAGTGACATAGCTTAATATCCTGTCGTATTTTGTCGACTTCTTCGTAAAAGTCTTTCCTGATTCTCGAAATATCTTCCATTTCCACTTTGGCACACTCATATGTGGGGCCATTGTGATTACAAGGACGTCTGAAGTTTTCAAGTTCAGGATCCTGATCTGCATACCTTGAAAATTAATGAATAATGATTCACCTTTTTTAGCAAGAGCCCACTCAACCTTACCTTGTTCTCTTACTGGATTCACGTTTGGATTCCTTCTTTTTTCTCCTCCTGCTACCATCATTCCCCTCATTGACAATAATATCTTCTTCATCCATCAGGTAATCAGGTTTTCGGAGTAGAGAAACAAAACTATTTTTGGTGCACAACAATCTTGTGTATACAAACCTCAACGACTACAACCGTGGAAGCACGTAAACACACTGAATGTAAACAATAAACTCGCGTCCGACAAGCATATGGATATAACCGGTTATGCTTGCAAATTTGGATATAACTGGTTTTGCTCCAAAGCAACACTTTCAGACGACGATTTCGGTTGAATATATCTCGTTTTGTTCACATATCAATGCACCAGACGATAGAGCTCACGAAACTGATGCAGAAACATGTATAATGTCATTTTCGGTCAAAAGTGGATATAACCGGTTCTGCACGCGAGCTCCTCAATTAATCTCTATTCAGTTAATTTTGTATAACCCTGTATAACATCGAATTGTTTATAATATTTTTTCTTGAAAACGTTTCAATTTATCGATAATAAACAAGAGTACCTTTTTTTTCAGTTTAATATTCAAGCTCCTCGAATTTGATTTTTTTGGGCCTTTATCATACAGGATGTCAAAATTTTGAGGATTAAAAATTTAACTTAGTCCACCCCTGATAAAGTAAGAATGCTAGTGATATTTCAATGCGACTATTTCGAGGGGTCTCTACTAGTGTTCGTCATATCAAATTCTTATTGGATTATGTTTATCGCTTCGAAAGTTATTCAAGAAAAACCGATTTCCAGTGGTGTCATTTAGGGGCCCATATCTCCGTCGGGAGGGCCTGTAGGAGAAAATCATATATGAACTTGTCATTTTATTTTTTTAGGTTCTATCTGAATCCGAGAGATTGCCCACATATTCTGGGAAACCCGTGACCCCTGTTCTCCAAGGCATTCAATATTATCTGAAATACCATCAGATTTGTAATTGTAGACTTATTTCTTGTTAGATATGGCAACAGTGCCTACGTCACATATGACACGGGAGTCGGGTCTGTGGCCCACGACAACATTTTAATAAATCATTCACTACCTGACAGTCGTTGAGTTATCACTCTCCATCCCCTCACCTCTCCTCCTGACCTCACACGACAACACATGGCGATGCGGACATAGAAATAAAAATCGAAAATCATCGTAAAAGTTACATGAGATTTTCTGGTTTTTCCGTTGTATTGTGAGAAGTAATAGTACAGCAAATAAATTAAAATGGATTTTAGAGGTGTTCTGTCGATGAATATTTCTGGAAATTTGGCCGAAGCATGGAAGTTCTGGAAGCAACGTTTTCTCACATACCTTCAAGCAACAGAAATTACGAGGAAAGAAGAAAAAACTCAGTGTGCACAACTATTAACACTGATAGGGGTTGAAGGTATGCGAATATTTAATACGTTTACTTACCAAGAAGCTGAAGTAAATAAACTTGCTCCTTTATTGGCTAAATTCGATGCACATTTTAATCCCAAAAGAAATCTGACTTACCTAAGGCATAAATTCCTTACGTATAAGCAATCAGAAGCTGAGTCTGTGGAACAATATATAACAGAACTCAAAAATCTTGCCCTCTCATGTGAACTAGGTAATCTCAAGGATGGTCTCATCAAAGATGTACTAATTTGTGACATAAAATCCACTGAAGTCAGAGAAAAATTACTCCAAGCAGATGTTGAAACACTAGATCAAGCCATAACTATTTGCATTAACTCACAAAAATGTAAAGAAAACTGCAGGGAAATCACCAATGGTAGCCACAACTCGAATTCCTCAGTAGATATGATCAGAAGAAAACCTACGACCAGAAGTTCCTGTAGAAAATGTGGATCACAGCATGGTTTTGGTAAATGCCGAGCTTTTGGCAAACACTGTGGTTCCTGTGGAGGAATGAATCACTTTGAAGCACTCTGCTCTGCTGGAAGACAACCAATGGGAGGACATAGAGCAAATTATTCTGAAGGTAGCAAAAAAGCCCAAGTAGGTAGACAACCAGATGTTAATTATAATGAAAGGAAAAATTATTGTAATAGATACAGTAATAATCAGAAAAATTCTTATAAAAAGAGTAAATTCCATGTAAATTCTGTTGTGGATGAATATGTGTCTGTAGAGGATGGAGATAATAATTGTCCTTGTGTTGATTGTGTAAATGTACCTTCAACGTTATCCCAAAATGCAGATAGTAGAAACTCTGATAACTTTCTGTTTATAGGTAGTATCGAGGACCAGGAAGTCAACGAGATTCATGGGGGCTCATGGACCACGCCAATGAGGATCAATGGACAAACGGTTTACCTTACATTTTACACAGGTGCCATGGCCAACATCATGCCTGTAGAAAATCTAGAGGTAATAGGTATCGATTTGAAAGAAATCGAGAAAACTGATATTGTTTTAACTTCTTATACTAAGAATAGTTTACTTGTAGTAGGAAAATGCACCCTTGACTGTTTTATAAAAGATAAAATGGCAAGAATTTCATTTTTTGTGGTTGACCAAAAAGGCAAAGCAATTCTTGGTCTAAAATCTTGTCTTGAATTGAATTTAATCAAAAAATTGATCCTATAAATAATGATAACCATTATTCTTTGCAGTCATTGCTAGAAAAGTATGACTGTTTGTTTCAAGGTGTAGGAAAACTCGATAAAACATATCATATAGAACTCAAAGAAAATTAAAGACCTGTAGTGGTACCACCTAGAAAAGTACCTTTTGCACTAGAAAATAAATTGAAATTTGCTTTGTCTCAATTAGAAAAAGATTAGATTATTGAAAAAACTTCAGAAAGCTCAGAATGGTTGAATCCAGTAGTGGTCGTTAAAAAAAGTGATGACTCTTTAAGAATCTGTTTAGATCCAAAAGATTTAAATATAGCAATCAAGAAATTTTTTTGTCATATACCAACAGTTGAAGAATTAACATCAAAGTTGAGTAATTGTGAATATTTCACTACTTCAGATGCTACACAAGGTTTTTCTATGATCCAGTTAGATAAAGAAAGTTCAAAGTTGTGTACTTTCAGTGTGGGAAATCTAGGAAAATATAGATATTTGAGAATGCCATTTGGTCTTTCTTGTGCACCAGAAGTTTTTCATTTTGAAACCATAAAAAATGTTTTTAGAAGAGCAAAAGAACATAATGTTCGCTTCAATAAAAAAAAGTGTGAATTTTGATTGAGAGAAGTAATATACTTGGGACATAAAATTTCAGCACAGGATATGTCGCCAGATGCAGACAAAGTAGATGCCATAAAAAATATGCCTAGTCCGACTGACATACAAGGTGTTTAACGCTTTCTTGGTCTGGTAACATACCTTGGTAGATTTGTTGAAAACCTATCAGAAAAAGTCGCACCACACATATTTTGTCTGGGAACACATTCATGAAAAAACTTTTCAAAGTTTAACAATCATCTTATGTCAGGCACCTTGCCTTAGATTTTTTGATGTGAATAAGCCTGTTGTAATATCTGTAGATTCATCTAAAGATGGTATGGGAGCATCACCCCTTCAAGAAGGAGCTGCATGTGCTCATGCCTCCAGAGCTCTGACTGAAACCCAAAAGAGGTATTCACAAATAGAAAAAGAATGTTTGGCAGTATGGTTTGGGTGTGAAAGATTTTACCAATATATATTCGGACTTAAAGATTTTATAGTTGAAACTGATCACTCCCCATTAATTCAAATATTCAAAAAATCTATAAGTTTCTGTCCACCTAGACTTCAGAAAATAATTTTGCAGTTGAGGAAATTCAATTTAACTTTAGTTTATAAACCAGGAAAAAAGCTAGTAGTCGCAGATACCCTGAGTAGGGCCTATGAATCGAAACACTTTAATGAGAATAGAGATTTAGAAATTGAGGCTCAGGTTTGTTTGGTATCAACATTTTTGAATGCGACAGATGAAAAAGTGGAAGAACTGATAAAACAGTTAGATTCAGACACAGAATTGCAATGCTTAACACGTTCGCTGCTGACGGGTGCGCGCAGCGCGTCGACAGTGTTAATACGCATATGCTGCTGGCGCACCGGGCGCGTCTAGTACGCTATTGGCTTCCGAAGGGTGTGGTTCGTCGTGCGATCAAGATAAAGTTTTTAAATTTCGTGTGTATCTTAAGCAGTGTATATATCATCTATTTCCACCCTTGGTTGACTTCATATATATTTATATATATTTATATATATAGTGATGTCTGATTGTGAAGCGGGTCCCTCCGAACCACAGCGTTCAAAAAGAAACTATAAACTCACTCTAAGAAAGTTTTTGACAGAAGAAGAACTTGAACAGATGCTTTTCAACTCTGATGACGATCTGGAAGATCCAACTTTTATCGATCAGGTAGATCAAACTGATCCGAGTTCTTCAGATGACTCTGATGGTTATTTGAACGAGTCCATCAGATCTGCATCAAGGTCCACATCTACGATTCATGATAACCAGCATGATACAATAACTGTGACAGCTCAACCCCAACAAAATGACGCAGTTCAACCCCCTTTCAATCCTGGAGTTGATAATCCATTTGTGGAATGGAACAGAGAAAATGTTTTGAGAGAATTTCCATTCACAAAAATCAACGAACTCTTGGTACCTACTTCAGGTGAGTGTATACCGAATAGGTGGAATACTCATCACATCATGTATCTGAACAATGAATCACCGAAATTTCAGATGATAAATGATAATTCAAAATTACCATGTGTTCAAAAAAAGTCCTAATTCTTCAGACGATGATCATGGAATGTGAAGGAATAAGACTCATCAGAAGAGTTGATTTGATATTTACAAGATTCTTTTCTTACAGGAGAATCTTCGATGGATTTTTTCGATTCGATGTTTGGTGATGAATCCTACGACCTGATAATCTAGGAAACAAATCGATACGCAGTGGAAATTCTTATGAGTAAGGAAGAAGAACATTTAAGAATCAGTAAATGGAAGCCTGTTACCAAAGAAGAATTGAAAATATTCATCGGACTTTTTTTCCAATTTCCACTGCTTTTCGGATTACACGAGTAGGGATAGATTTTTGATAATTCTAAGATGCCTACATTT